CAGTATCCTTACAACTATGTTCCTTTTTAGAAAGAGATGATATCTGCGAGGATTTTCAGTCAGGATTTAGACCGTACCATAGTACCGAGACAGCTCTCATTAGAGTCACAGATGTCTTATCAATCACAAGTTCAGTATGGCGTACCCCCGTTGCTGTTTACTCCGTTCATGCTACCCTTAGGAGATATCATTAGGAAGCATGGAATTAGTTTTCGCTGTTATGCTGATGATACTCAGCTCTATATTTCTTCACGCCCTGATGAAACTTACCAATTCACAAAATTAACGGAATACATAGCTGATATAAAAAAAATGGATGACTAGTAATTTCCTACCACTAAATTCTGAAAAAAAATGAGATTCTAGACTAGACTAAAAAAAACTAGACTGAGATTGGACTAAAAAAACTTCCTCATTCAATAACTTGGAATACAGTTTAAAGGGATACTCCACTTTTTTGGGGGGGAAATAGGCTCATTTTACAACTCCCCAGAGTTAAACAGTCGAGTTTTACCATTTTCGAATCCATTCCGCCGATTTTCTGATATTTAGAAGAATATCAGTAACCAGACAGTTTCTGGATATCTAAATATCAGAACATTGTCTGAATGGATTCGAAAATGGTAAAACCCAACTGTTTAACTCTGGGGGAGTGGTAAAATGAGCCTATATCCAAAAAAGTGGAGTATCCCTTTAACACTTGATGGCTGCTCTGTTAAGTCTTTGTCATCAGGAACCTGAGTGTGCTCTTTAATAGTAATCTCTCATTTGAAAGTCACAAGAATACTATCTGAAAAACGCATTTTTTCATCTTTAAAATATATCTAAATTACGCCATATGCTCTCATTGACAAATGTGGATGCGTTCATGACATCAAGGCTAGATTATTGTAATGCTCTACTGGGTGGTTGCCCTGTATGCTTAATAAACAAACTTCACCTAGTTGAAAACGAAGCAACTCGAGTTTTTACCAGAACCAGGAAGTATGACCATATTAGCCCGGTTCTGTCAACCCTGCATTGGCTGCCCATTAAACATCACATACATTTTAAAATATTGCTGATTACTTACAAAGCACTAAATAGTTTAGCTCCCCAGTACTTGAGCGAGCACTTAACGCATTATAGTCCTTCACGTCTATTGTAATCTCAAAATTCCGGCCAGCTGATAAAATCTAGAATAGTAAAATCGACTACTGGCGGTAGATCCTTTTCCTATTGAGCACCAAAACTTTGGAACAGTCTTCCTAACATTGTCCGGGAAGCAGACACAATCTGTCAGTTCAAATCTAGACTAAAAACACATCTCTTTGACCTAGCATACACATAAAACACTATAGACTTCTATAACTCAATTTCGGCTGCATAGATTAGGTCAGCCGGAACCAGGAACACTTCCCATAAATCCTGATGTACTCGTTACATCATAAGATGAATGGCGTCTACGCTAATATTAGTCTCTCTGTTTATCCAAAGGTTTACCGCAGTCCGCCGGATCCAGGCCGTATCCAGATCTGATGAAGGACCTGCGCCTGGACATGACGACAACGCAGTCCTGAAGTGTCAACTAGTCTCTCTCCTGTTAAGGCCCTCCACCCATCCCTTACCTCTCTACAGATAAACCGGTGTCGGGATAGTTCCGGTTCGCGTGGCTACACAGAAGCGATATAAATTATCTATTATAAATTTTAAGGCCAGACAAGAAGTTTGTTTAGGGTTGATTTTTAGGGAAGGACAACATGCCTACACACATATATTCAAACGCGCATACCAGTGGAGTGGGCTCTTAAGAGTGGGCTCTCGCGTTTTTGAAGTTTGCGTAGCGAGAACTTAAGAGTTTTCTGTTAAAACGGGGTCGTGTTAGCGGCCCTTAAGTTAATATCTAATGATCGTTGCAACTGAAGTGAATCAATCAAAACTTGACCTGGAAAATAACTTTATTCTAGAGCTGCTAAAAAAAACAAAACAATCTCTGTTACTTTGATTTCCCGTTATCACTGTGAAGCCGCTTTGGAACAATCCTTTGTTAAAAGCGCTATATAAATGAAGATGACTTGACAACAAATATCTTGGGAAAAATCATCTACAAAACAAAATGCACTTCAAAGGCCTATATCCGATGTGGTGAAGAGATGAGTCCCCCTGAAGAGATGAGTCCCACCTTAGGACCCAAGCGATCCGATTGGTTCAAAGCTAGTTTTGTGGGTAAACGCTTTAGTGCCTAGTTACAAATTAGAGAAAATCAGTTTGAAGTATGTTATAAGGAGTCATTAATGTATTTTAACTTATATGTTTCATATAGTATATAACCGAAGCTGTAGATTGTAAATTTAAACATTTCTCATTCTTATTGTTTTTTAGTTAGCTTACATAGTAGCATAGCATTTATCCGCGGCAAACGTCAGAATGACTAGCCGAGTTAAGGCTGTTCCAGGCGGGCTAGTTAACTTTAGATGTGCTGCTGATCCCTGGTTCTGACAACTCCGAAAACGTCAGAATAATGTTTTAAAAAGGCGCAATCTTTATAAATAAACCACAGATTTGAGCTTTAAACAACTATATTCTCGACTTAAAAACTTACTTGAAAAGCGCTAAACAAATAAACATATTACTTAATGGCAACAAACTGCTTTTATAAAGTTATCGTGATAACATATTTAGATCAGGCATACTACTGGCATACTATGGGGTCCTAAGGTGGGACCCATCTCTAGTAGTACATCTCTAGTGGGACCCAGCATAATAGTTTGAGTTAAGAATTTGTTCAAATGATAATAATGCTTACCTTCCTGACACAAACCTAATCCGCAAATCGTTTCTTTGGAAGGTTTTCTAATCACATTAAATCAAGACCGGTTTTATAAGGCTCACCACTTGAGTTAATAGAGGATAAAATACTATTAGTGCCTAACGTTTTCCAAATTCTAATAAGGAGCGTGCAATTTTTATTTGTTTTAAGGGAATGATGCATAGGTAACTGCTGATCTCCTGAGCAGTTAAAGTTAAGAGCTCTGCTGCTAGTTCCATTACGGCTCAGAGTTTGTATGTGTTTGCACGTGCACAAATGCAATGACTTCAGGAATCCTCGCAGGATAGGGTTAGAGTTACAAATCGTCAGGCGGTGGTCAAAAGGTCAGACTAAATTGTTGCGCCCACCCAACTGTAGACCCCCGGTAACAGCGTTAACAAGGAATGTGTGAAACAAACAATCATATGCAGCAGGAATACAGACAGAGAACAGTAGACACTGTTTGACAGGGGTCTCCCTAACCCCCCGTTGTTTTGTTTGGGACGATACTTTATATAGATTTCTACAAAACAGAACAGGAGACAAAGAATCTCTGTTGGATGTAGCCCAAGAGACTGCTTGGCATTTTGCAGTTAAGATACCACAAATCCTATATAAGCCTATGGAAGACGGTGGACCATGTCTGGACAGGCTGGATTGACTCTGGTATGTTCTGCGTTGCAGTGACCTGGCGTTTGGGGCCATTGGGAAGTCTCGATGGTTTGGATGGGTGGATTGACTCCAGAAGCTTTTTACTACAGTTTTTACTGGTATCTAGTGGGGCTTAGTAACCAAATACCACTTCCTTCTCTACAGTGTTCTGGACAGGAACTTCTTTACTTGATGAAGACACATTTTCCAAACTCTCTCAGCTGCTGTCAGTAATACAGTTAGGCAGGAGACACGGGGACAGGACGAATGCTTTCATGCTGCATCCCTTGGTCCATATGTCGCTTTATCTCTCAGAATATTCGTCACTCTGTACTTGAGTCCTTCTATTTTGTCCAAACATCCCTTTATATCCTTGCATGTCCCTCAAGTGAAACTACCAAAACTTTACCAGCCAAACACAACCATGAATCTCCCCCTCTCTCTCTCTCTCTCTCTCTCCACCTCCACTGCCAGCTCTGGAAAGTTCATTTGTGACAGTAGGTCCGTCTCCTTCGCTCTGCACGTGTTTTTTCAATTAGCCAAGGCTCCTGTACACTATTCAGAAGAACATTTGGGAAACCATAATTCTCATGGCCCTGCACAAAAACTAATGGAAACTCGCTTAAGATTTTTCCGGGGGAGGTTTCAAAAAGAGCCATTACCCCAAGAGGGGAGCGGGGGGGGGTTGCTGTATTCATCCCAGAGATGAAGGGATGAATTGGCCAGAAGATTAGACAGACGAACGGACGGGTGGAGTGATGGACGGATGCATTACGAGTGAGGGGTCAAGCTGGCCTTTCTAAAGGTAAAAAGAAGTCAGACAGACAGAAGTAGAGACACTCAGACTAGAGGTGAACGAGTGCACGGATGGAGAGATTTTCCTCAGAATGCGGATGAAAGCTGGCCGGTCCGGATCTGGAGCGGGCCGCAGGGATAAGGGACATGTCCAGAGGACTCAGATCAAAGGAGAAAAGCGGCTGAGAGACAGATGATGGGCCGTCCCCTCCCCTCATCCCAGAGTCTCTATTTACACAGATGAGTTTGAAAAGCCTTCAGCAAGATTCTGGCCTTCAGCACAGCAAATAAACACAAACACACATAAACATGCTAATGCAAATTCATTCACACACACCTGACGGTGTATCAATACTCGTGCACGTGTGTATACACACTCACATTAACATTCCACACATTTTGTGTACACGCATATCTAAAATAGACATCATATATACATATTTGTTCAAGTAAGCTAAAACTCCTAACATACTTCTATACACTAAATACCTCAGCATTGATCAATCAATGTATTCTCTATGCTGTCACAACCATAAATAAAGTCTGCTCCTACTTTTATAGATCTTGACATAAAATGGTTTTGTAGAGAAAAGTGTTTAAAAGGCTGCCTAAAAGTGTATAAATTTGAGGTAGTGTGTGTCAGCGTGTGTGGACACAGACCCCCCATGCTGACAGCCAGACAGACAGACAGACAGCCAGACAGACAAATGGCTACTTTCAATAATAACATTAACATTGGCATTACAATGACAGCAGCAACTCTTACCTACATGCTTGTGAAGTCTGGGAAAGTGAGAGGTTCATATCTGCCGCTGCAGTTCCTGTGCTGCACGTTTAGACCCAGAGGAGAGAGAGAGAGAGAGAGAGAGAGAGAGATAGGAGAGAGAAAAAGGGAGAGAGAAAGAGAGAGAGAGTGCAATGGAGCAGCGCAGCCCCCAGTCCCGGCACTCCGATTGTACGTTCTGAGGATGAAAAGAGAAGTCTTCATTACCAGCTGGAGACCACGCCTCCGCCTCTCCCCTCTTCCCTCCCCGCCGCTTCCCTCTCCCTCCTAGCCAGTAGCAGGACGCAAACTTTGTCCCAGCCAAGAGAAGGCCAGTGCTCTGCCAAAGCAAACCTTCAACCACAACCAACTGCCAGTACAGCGAGAGAGAAGGCTGTGACAGATCCAGTCGAAGGGAGCACAGTAAAGGGGCTAGACACACTTTTTGATCAGTGTTGTTGAACTCACTTTAATTAAGGCTTGCTGTAGGAAACGGGACATCAAACGGACTGTCGGTTTATGGGAAGGCACGGCTCGGAGCGCATACACATTTGTGCGGGTGCCAATGTCCTCTTTCATGCAGCACCGGTGCAAAAAAAAGAGGATATTTTGCATTACTTATGAGTCAACTTTAAGTTTCCCCTCTCCCTCTTGTCATCTGTCTCTTGCTTTTCACTGTTGCCAAAGTGAATGTTATCCATGGCAGTCGAGAAAATCGCTCTTTTTAGGAGAGCTGCATGCCGTCTGTAATTATAAGTGGGGTTGGGCATGAAGTCTGCCTACAATCCCAGCTCCGATGCCACAACACACACACATATGTACACGCCCTAATGGGAGTGTGAGCCAAACCAGACCAGTGTGCTCACACTCCTCAACTATGAGGCACAGCATGACAGTTCAGACTATATTTTTAGCATATCCAAAACCTTTTTTTATTCATATTGAAATTTTCATTGGAGAAATTATGGTTGCCTTGAAAAGACTCAATCAATGGAAGCATTCATGGCAAACGGAATAATAAAAGCCCTCTTAGACACTCATTTGCCCAATTATTTCAGTGTGCATGCATTACAGGGCTATTTTAAAGTGAACGTTTAAACTTCTGGGGTTGTCCTAATTGAGTTACGGTATGTAAACGAAGTCTGGGGTTGAAATGTTCTGCTACCGTGGTGTGTCAGTGCCTTGCAAAACGCTCTTTTCATCCTAAACACACACAACTGTTTGCTTGCATCGCTGTCATGGAAATGAAAATTAAGTCGTATAACTTTTTGGAACAAAAGAGACATGAATTCAGAGCCAATATGAAGGGAGAGATATAATTATGATTTATGTTCTGTTTTATTCTCTGACAGATTTGTCAATGTTCTGTTTATAGTTGTGGCACATGCAGTGAAATCTGAAGGCGAAGAACAAAACCCGAGAATGGTGAGAGAACATGGAGAGTTTACAATATAAAATTGTTCTTCACAAATAAGGCTTCAAGTGGAATCACATCTTACGTCTGTACTTCCTTTAATACAGCAGGAATCCTGCATGTAATTCCTCTCCTCACCACAAGAGGACCACTTGTGCAGCTTGTGCATTTATAGGAAAGACTTTCAGTCAAATAGTTTGCAGTGCAAGTTTCAGGGATGGCAGTCAAAGATAAAACAAAGCTAATCCACAAAAATAATAAAGATTACCAAACCACCTTTGACTTAAGCAAAAAAGACTGTATAATGAAAAACCTATATATTTATTTATTATGTATGTATGTTTAATCGTTTATGTTTACATAAATACTGCACACTCCATCTCACACACCACTGCGAATAGATGTGTTTGACGCTTTTTTTACTTGACCAGATGTTAAGTCGATGAGTTATGTCATTTACAAGACGTTCACTGGGATAGACAAAACAAGACAAGTAGTGGATCTGCCATTGCATGCAAACTTTATAACAAAAACACACTCTCTTTGACTACTGCAAAGTAAATCACACATGGTCGTTGGTTTTAAAACCTGTCCTGGAAGACCCCCAGTATGTATCCCTCATCTAACACACCTGATTCAACTTCATTCAAATCAGTTGAGTCAACTCATTAGTAGAGACTGCAAGACCTGAGTTGGAAATTCACCATGACTAATTTGAAAACTCAAGACCTAGTAGACTCTTCTTTCTCAACATTAACCTTGCGCATGCATTGTTGAATGTGATATTTGCCCAATACCCTCAAATCAATGCAAGTTGTAACCAGTGTAATGTCAGGAGAAATGAATCTCTCTCAGCAGGTCATTACTCACTGCGTGAATAAATCTAACGGGACGCTCATGACATCAGAGACACCCTGATGTGAGAGAGATTACGAGCACAATCACTCAAGATCTTTTCCAGATACCAGCGTGGCAGAAAAGAACAAATTGTCAGGAATCTCGGATAAACTAAGGCTTTGTTTAGGATATTCGTTTGAATTTTTGTATAAGCTAAAGCTCAAAATGTTATTTGACAAGTACAATAGTTGAGCCCATCTTGATGACTAATACAAGCTTGTATAAGATGATAATTCTGTTGCTAGCTTAACAAAACTCTAATGACCTAGTGTCACAACATTTCCCAACACTCTATTGTCCATAATATCATCTACACCCACGGGATCCAAGTCTACTATTCCAAGTACAAATCAGGGATGACAAACAATTTGAAACAAAAATGAAGGAATTCCAATGGGCAGAAATAAGAAACACTTAAGCCAAACGAATAACTTTTCATGCATTTGGTTAACGTGACTCTTGCACAACGGTAATTACTCTCTACACTCAAAGAAGAACAGCTGTATTAGTATCCAAAGAAACAAACTGTCAACCTGACCCTTACTCGAGGTTGTTAAGCGTGTTATGGTGGGTTGCTATGGTCTCAGGGAGTTGCCCCCTGCCTCAAATATTTGCCGGCTTGACATAATTAGGTCTGTCCTGGTGCACGGCTGGAGACCCAAACTAATTAATTGTCTTGCAGTGTAATTACCCAAATATCTCATCAAATGTCCTCCCTTGCCTTTGGGAAACTTGCCCTTGAGGCCTATCCAACCTCACACAGCTGGCTGCGCCAGTAACATCAAGTGTGTTTGAGTTTACTTCTTTATGCCAGCACCCCACACATGGACTTTCTAGCTCCATCTGCAGCTAACAAACTCCACACAAATAGGTTGGCCAGACAAAGTTATTCATACAATGAACTGTGAGTAAACCGTTATAACCAATGATCCCTAAACTAGCTATTATTAAAATGCAACAGATACTGAACAATCCACTACCTATTATACGTTTTATGATTTTACCTATACTTTAGTATGTGAAATAGCTTGTGCATGTAAACAAATCTGGAAAGTTATCAAAGCACAAAGACCGTGCCAAAAGGGAGTGAATCGCTCCAACAGAGAACACTTGCCTGAGAAATGGCTGCCGTTATTTCTGTGACGTAGCTACGTCATCATGTAACACATTTACACAGCCTATGGCTGCCTGATGGCTAGTTTGGCTCGCCCTCGAATAAAGGTAATTATAATGCAGGTCAGTCTATTATTTAGATTTTGCAGTGGTATAAACTAGCTTGTTCACTAGTAAAAGAAGATCCATTGACTGCAAAATAGATCCTTTTTAGATCAAATGGATCTAAAAAGATCCATTTGCCTGCATCTTTTGGGAAACAGAATGACAATATCAGATTCTAAGAAATCGGTAACACTTTACAATAAGGTTCATTAGTTAACATTAGTTAACTACATTAGTTAACATGTACAATATGTGAACAATACTTCTTCAGCATTTATTAATCTTAGTTAATATTAATTCCAACATTTACTAATACGTTATTAAAATCAAAGGTTGTATTAGTTGGACTGTGAACTAACATGAACGCACAATGAACAGCTGTATTTGTATTAACTAACATTAACAAAGATTAATAAACACTGTAACTAATGCATTGCTCATTGTTAGTTCATGTTAGTTAATGCATTTACTAATGTTAACTAATGAACCTTATTGTAAAATGTTACTAAGAAATCATCCCTCTTAAAAAATAAATCCAGCATTGCTGGTCACCAGCATAAGGTATGTTTTGCATGCTGGGACCATGCTGGGATGCTTGTTTGTTGGTCTCCAGCATGGGAAACGGGAATTAGCGGGTGGATTATCAAGTCAGCTCAGTTTAACTTGAGAACGGCACGACTGCTGTTAAACAAGCCTGGACCAACGTGGAATTAATGCATTTTTTTGCTGTGTTTTTCAGAATGGATATTCATATTGTTGATGATCATTACCCTAAATTGCTGTCAATTTTTAGTACATTACCACATAATACAGGTGACCTCCGGGCTAACCGACATGAGAGAAAAAATATCTAATTTTGCTTTCCTGGTGTTTTTAAGAATACCTTAGAAATTATACTCGCAGGCCTCATTAAATCCAAATGAGTAGTAGTATAAGAAAAGGTGAAGCTTTATTGACATTCTAGAGGCTCTTCGTAGGCGTGGAAAAAAAAAATCAAAACAAGATTGAAGAGAGAATGATCCTGTGCATATACACATACTAATACGGAAATTCCACCTTAATCTCCAGCTAAAGTTTAAGAAGTCCGCTAATGCACCGCAACACACGAGTTTCTTTTGGAGCATTTCGGTTTTGTCCAAAGAAAATAAGAATTAAGAGCTGACATAGGATCCAATGATTATGCAGCTGAAGTGCAGCTACAACAATTGGACACATTTTACCTTCTCAGACACTTCAGTTTAATTTAAATTTTGCTCAAATATAACACATTCAAGTGGAAAACCAGGACCTCTAATACACAGTAATGATTTGGTTTGGCCAGTGCCAAAACTGCCCAGCTTGTTTTGGCAAGAGTTGATGCAAAGCAAATGCATTATTGATGCAGTCCAAGTAAAATCAATATTAAAGTTAATAAGCCATGAATTTTGCTTTATTATAGAGATTACTCTGGATTTTCATTTATTAGAGTATTACAGGGTATAAACCACTGGACTTCTTGACATGCATCATTTAAACTTAACCAGGGCATTTCCATTCCACAACAGTACAGTGTTTTCTAGGGTCATTTACATGTTAGCATATTGTACAGAGTCGGTGAGATTGAGAGTTGGGAAAGAGTGTTGAGTCAACACTGCCCCCTCTAAAAGAGCCCATTCATGACAGACCATCTTGCATTCTGCTGCTATTTACAACAGTCCAGGGTTTCTCCTGTCTTCACTGGCGTTTTCATAGTAACCTCACCCGACGGCAAACTCACTCCAGAGCACTCTGCACACACACAGACACACTGCACTATTTCCATACAGGATCAGTTTAGTCTCAGTAGTGTGGATATTAGACTTAACCAAACCATAATGTCAATAATGCTTAGAGGAGACAGACCCACTCTCTTTACTACCCATAATTCCATCGCATTATTGGAAAAAGTTCACTCAAGCGTGACTCAAATAGGAACACATTCTAAAGGTTGCATTCACCAAAGTCTTGGTGATGGAAATTGCAGTCTGTTTTCAGACTGAG